CTCTGAAGAGGACAGGTTTGGTGTCCTCTGGTGTCATAAAGGAAAATGTTTACTATCCCTACTCCAGTAAAATCTGTGGTAAAATCCATATTTTTCTTTCAGAAAAAAAAAAAAAAAAAAAATTCCAATTAAAAATTGCAATTAAAATATGTAGGAATAGTAGAAAATTACTTTTCTTGTATACAAGCTGTTGTTTCTTTTATTGCTGCAGATGAAAGTGAGGAAATACCTGGATTTGAAGAAGAGAAAAATAAAGATCCAATTAAAATAAGCTCCTAGATTCTGGAGTTATGTGACAATTTCAGGTGCTTCAATATTGGAGGCTGTACCATTCTTCAGAGGAGTATTGCAAGTGACTGCAAAGGCAGAGCATAACTCACCCAGGACTGCATTCACCAGCACAATGCCAGGTGTCAAATGAATACAATACCTGGCTGCTGTGACATGAGCAGGCATGCAAAATAATTAAGTATCTATGCAAATGTGAGGGAATCAAGGGAGAACCTGTCTCCTCTTCTTTCCTCTGAACCTTTTGGGTGAAGGCACAGAACTACATGCAGGCAACTCTAAGCCCCAGCTGTGGTGTTTGCCACCAAAGTTTCTTCCTCAAATTGTTATTGCTCTCTTTCAAATGTAGACTGAAAATGCCATTTTTCATACATTCCCATGTGAATATTCAAATATTTTATCTGGTTTTTTTTTCATATCTTGGTGCATGACAGTACAGACATGCTAATATTCTTTCTGATCTGCTTGTTCTGTGTACAACCAAGGTAACAGTTCTAAAATACACTATCAGCTTTTTCATCACCGACTCGTGTGTTGAGCAAATAGCAGCATTTAACTTTTAGGATGGAAGGAGAGTTTTCACTGAGCCAAAACAGCGCTTGACTCATTGTGAGGATTTCCTGTGCATCTTTTTTTGGTACTGTTAGACTTCAGTCAAGATGTAGACTTCTACATGTTAAATTTAAATATTTAATTCTGAGGCTTTTGGGCTAAAACAAATTGAAATATTCATGAATTCAACATCCATCATAAATATATTCTCAGCTCTGCCCTTGGTGCAAAATTCCTCTCTGGTCTGTTCATTACTGGTTGTTTTTTTTGTTTGTTTGGTTGGGTTTTTTTGCATTTTTTCTTCGGGGGTTTGGGTGGTTTTTTGGGGTTTTAGGGGTTTTTTTGTTTTTGTTTTTTGGGTTTTTTGTTTGTTTTTTGTTTTTTGTTATTGTTGCTGTGGTTGATTTTGTTTGAACCCTGGATGGATTTGCAGTTTGTGAATATCTGTTTTATTTGGTGCCAAGTTTTTGTGCATTGCGATATGGCATTGTGATAGATGTATAAGCGTAGCTTCGAAAACCACAGCACACACACAGCTATTCTCCAAACATGGAAACCATCTAACTGCTAAATGTGTGGATTTTGGTGGTCTTAGGATTTTCTTTTGTTTGGTTTGTCATTTGGCAATCATGGTAACAAGTGTTGTCCTAACCAGTGAGAGCAATTGCGTCAATGTATTCAGTGTCCTAACGCAGAAAGTGTCTTTCTGGGTGATGCCCAGTTCTGGTATCCTTGTAAAGGTGTCTTGGTGGTTTGTGCATTGCCCTGTGCTTTGACGGGCTGAGCAGCTGCTTGAATCTGCCATCTGCTTCAAACCAGACTCCCATTCTCAGCCTTGTGTGTCAGGAAGATGCACAAATTTACACACATTTCTTTGAGTAGGTTCAGCTGTGAGCTTGCCATCACAGTGTTCTCCCTTAAAATCTATCTGAACTGTTTTGAAGACTGCCTTCAAGACCCAGGGAAAATATCAAAGTATACCAATCACCAGAAAGCCCCATAAAAGTAACCAGTACTTGTTGGTGTGTTGTTTGGAACCTCTTGACTGGGGTTAGCTGTTTTCCTAAGAAAACCTAAACATTTCCTAAGCTGATCTCTGCCACTTCCTTCCCACACATCTTTCACCTCCAAAAAAACAAACAAAAAGAACAACAAAATAAAGAGAAAAAAAAACCACCACCAGAGGCTCACATCCTTCTCTGTTTCCTTCCCCCAACCCAGCCCAGCAGCAGAGCAGACGCTTTCTCTGCTGCCAGTTTGCTGTCCGGCATCATGAAAAGGAAATCTGGGGAGCAAATTCCTGCCTGGTCTCGCTTTTCCTTAATTCCTGTGGTGAATTTTCTTCTGTTCCATTCTTTTTTCTTTTTCCATTCAAGCTGCTGTCTGATGTGGATGTGCTACCTAGGCTTGAGTCTGACAGCAAAGGCAAATGTTGCATGTTCTCCTGACCTCCAGCATTAATAGCTCATATATATATGTGAGTATATATAATATACTCATGAAGGTAGTCAGCCTTGGGTCCTTGCTGGAGATCCCTCTTCACAGCACCAAGCCTCCTGTGCTGACAGTATGGAAAAGCATGTGGAAATAGATAACAGTGACTGTGGCTTCTGCTTGTCCCTTCTTTGCACACAACTGGGTGAAGATATATTTTGCATTAGATGTTAGGGGTCAGGAACGAAACGTTCTTCCTCTAGTAATGACAAGGTATTATCAGTGTCCAGGCATGATCCCAGCTTATTCCTCTCTCAGAATAATATCAGCTGACATATTTTCTTTACAATGTGGTCTTTTGCCAATGCCTGAACACATCCAAAGATGGAAAATTAACAACATGGCTTTTAAAACTGCTTTTGGAGAAAGCAGCTGTTACAGATAGAGGAGCCTCTGAGTAGCAGAGTTAAGTAGAAATGTCTGTTGTTCATTCGTTTTTAGACACAGAAAGAGCTCTTTTAATGTAGTCATGCCTTCCCTCACAGTCTGCTCTGCAGTTTCATTGCCCCTATAAAGAGAAACTGCCTCCACCTGGAACACAGCATCACTTTCACGCTGGAGCACCATCAGCATTTGAGAGAACCAAGCAGCCTCTGCTTCACTTGCCCTGTCCCCTCCCTGGCTGTTCCTCACCACTGCTGTAGTACTTCCTCCCTTATGGCAATCTTGGGGTAGATCAGACAGGTTGCATGAGTCATAGCACACAGAAGAAAAGCAGGGTACTCTACAGGTTGGTGTGAGAGCTTGTCAGCGAGACAGGCGTGGGTTTATATCCTCATACAAAGCTTCAGAAATACTCTGGAGAACTGAAAATATCTTTCAATCTCCCAGTGTCCCATCAACCGTGCTGAAATAGGATTAGGAGGGAAAAGAGCAGAATTGTACTAGGAATTCAGAACTAGCAGTATGGAAGAGCTACAGATGGTGATGCTGGAGAGCTTACTGAGAGTTCTTGCAAGTGAACAGGATGTGAGATGGCTTTACATAATACTTTGGGATAGGCTCACCAAGCAACAAAAGAAAGGGGTCTGTGGTCAACTTGCGGTCTCAGTAGCGTGTCTGTGCTGCAGAAGGACTGATATTTAGAGTAGCACTTACTTAGGGGTAAAGGTGCAATGAGGAAAGTTAGTGTGGTCTCTGAATTTGTCAGAACTGTTTCCTCTTTTTTTTACATATAAGAAGAACAATAATTTAAAACTGGTATATTAAAAACCAACGACAATCAAAAAAGGCAAGCAATCTTTTCTTGCCAAAGCTCACTATGTAGTGAACGTGCCAAAGAGAATATTTGGCATCTGGTGAGATAAAGGACAAAACATTCCAGGTTGTTTCAGTAGCTGCTCAGGAGACAGGACTGAAACTCACAATGTAGAAATCTTGGGTGGCTTTATCCCCAGTCCTGCAGAAGGATTTGTGATGGCTTTGAGAATAAATAGACCAAAGAATGGTGGCAAGGTTGATCATATAATCCTGTGGATTCTACTGTAAGAATTTGATCTCTTTCATCTCTGAAGGAGGACAGAGAGGCTCTGAGCTGCTTGAATGGAAACTGCAGCAAAGAATGCTAGTTATTTTTCTTTCTGGCAAAAGTCAAATACCATATGCTAGCCCCAGACAGTACAGCAAGATTCACATCTTGCATTCTGCTGACACTGGTGGTATATTGCTAACATAGGGGCTAACTCTGTTGGCATCTCTGAAATGCTGATTTGTCCTACAGTTGATGAAGAGAGAGAAAAAAGAGAAGTCTTATCTGTGTATTGTTTGTCTGTAATTTACTTAGTAAGAGCCAAGCAGAATTGCAGCTCTGCAGGTTTTCTTACGGTAAAATACAACCACTGGTGGAACAGCTGTGTGTCTGCATGTGGGTTTGTATGTACACATGCCCAGAGCTTGTTCAGATGCTGCAGAGAAGCACTTTAGCTGAATACTACTTGCATGCAGTCGGTTGATGCACACTGTGGAAACTTACCAGGATAACTACAAATATCAAAGTCAGTGTGGTTTTCTGCTGGCTTTTGATAAGGCAGTTAGGTTACCACAGTGAATTAGCAGTAATTTGGTTAGCATTGCAGTGAGTTTATTCTTCTCTTGTCTCCAAGTTTACTTGAATTGTGTGTCAGTTGTACAAAGTTCAAGCTCTCCTGTGACCAAACAGCCATATGTGACAGCAGATGGGCACAATGAGGCTGTGTCTGTGAGCATGGAATGGAATCATCAGCTGTGTTCATCAAATGTCATGGCCAGAAACAGCCCAGGAAGTGACTTACAGGACTTTATCAGCTGCACCAGAAAAAGGTGAGGAGGAGAAAAGTAGTGGTAAATAAACTACTGATATCAGCTAAGAAATGGAGGCCAAGCTAGTTTGCTATTCAAGGAGAAAACAATACATCTTCCAAGTTATTAGGATTTATGAGCAAGCAATTATGTGTCTTCAAATGGTTTATACCTATTTTTGTCTGTCTAGATGTACTTGGCATGCCTGACACCCAGGGAAAGCCAGGGACAGCCCCACCAGAGGAGCTGCAATGCTGGACCTGTTGCTCACCAATGAAAGTGAACTGATTGGTGACATCAGGATTGGAGGCTGCTGGGGCAGCAGTGACCATGCACTGATGGAGTTCACACTCTTGAGAGATATCAGATACACAAAGAGTAAAATCAGGAAGTTTAATTTTGGAAGGCCAACTTCCAGCTCATCAGGCAGTTAGTCAACAAAATCCTCTGGGAATCTGTTCTCAAGGACAAGGGAATGGAGCAGAGCTGACAGGTGTTTAAAGAAGCTTTCCTGAGGGCACAAGAGCTCTCCATCCCCAAGTGTAGGAAGTCAGGAAAGGAAGGCAAGAAATCAGCATGGCTGAATCAGGACCTGCTGGTCAAACTGGAGAGCAAGAAGAAAATGCACAGGCAGTGACAACAGCTGGGCTGTGTAGGGATGAGGTCAGGAAGGCCAAGGCCCAACTGAAAGTGGATTTGTTAAGGGGCACAAAGAAGGGTAAGAAGGGCTTCTGTGGGTACATCAACTGGAAAAGTCCAGGAAGGTGTACCCCCTCTAGTGGATAATATAGCCAGGCTGATAACAACAGACAAGGAAAAGGCAGAAGTACTCAACAGCATTTTGGCCTCAGCCTTCGCTAGCGACTGCTCTACACAGTCTTCCAGTAGATGGCTCCATACGTGGTCATTTTTATACAGAAATACAGAATTCTTCCAATGAAAATAATAAATCCGCTCAAACTGAAGCTAACTTCAGTCCCTGCATAACCATCTTGAGAAAGTTGCTATTGCTAGTATGCAAGAAAATTTCTTCTGAGCCAGTAAAATAGGATACTTGAATATGAGGATGTGATGTACTTAAAGTTGAGTGACTTCCTTCTATATACCATGAATTACTTTCTTATTGTGTTTATTTAAGAAAAAAAAAAAAGGATACTTGCATGGGTGATGACATCTATGGTTACTTTAGAGAAAGGATAAAAGAGAAAGCTGACAAAGATCAGCTAGGATCTGCCCTGCATGACATATTTCTGCACAGTTACATTGGCTGCTTCATGGATGTTTGCTTCATCTGCCTGAATGCTTTGACACAGTGATTCACGGTGACATCTCACATTGCTGAGACTGAGGCATATAGGGAGTTTCTTTCATCTCTGCTCAGGTGCTGAGTTAGGAATAGCCTTGGACAGCTATGCACATGGATATGCCTTGGCTTCTATGAGTTCCTCTCCTTTCTGGAAAACAAAACATCAGTACTGTAAATGTGAGGACCAAGATTTTTTTGAGAAATGCAGTTCTGTGCTCTAGGAATGCAAGAACAGAATTTCTCCTATTTGTTTCTTTTGGTGGGGAATTTCAGAAACATGAGGCTTTATATCTTTGATTATATATGTCTGTAACCTCAAATGAAAATACTTCCATTTTGTTTCTGCTTTACTTGTTTGTACTGTAACTTTGCATAGCAGTTGCACCTTGCGGCATACAACTGATAACTGGCCATGCTGCCAGATTGCTGCCAGAACTCTGAAACAGTTACAAACTGATTCTGATCTTGTGCAATACTTCCTGCATTTCTGCATGACCCCTGCCTTCCTTACCTTTGTTTGAGAAAGACAACATTGTCCAAAAGTGTGTACCCAACCTCTGGAAGATATTTTGCTGTCATTTAATCTTCATAGCCTGGAAATCCCGTGTTTTCTATCTGCGGAACTGTTCTATCAGTGGAACTGAACTGATGTTTCTTTTGTATTTTTGCTACTGGAAGAAGTACGGCAGCAGGAGGCGGGTCTCTAGCACCAATGAATGAATTCTAAGAGCAGCTGTGATGTTACATATCTCTGATAAACCCGCATGAACATGTGCTGAGCTGGTTCACTTGTGTCAGATTCTGACATGACTGCACATGATGTGAAATAGCACCAGAAGCCCTTGTAAACTTCTCTAGGTGTGACAAGGGGGGTGTTATATGTATCACATCCTGCACATACCTGGCATCACAGAATATGCAGAGGTGAAGAACAGCCAAAAGGAAAAAGGAGGCCAGCAGACAAGCAAGGCTGATGACACACTGATGAAACCGTGCAGTGCGGTCTAAAGAGAAACAGTTATTTTAAGTGCACCTCACAAACCATTTACTGCATGCCTGACAGAATCACACCTTCTAGAAAATATTATTTGCCGTATACTTCTGAATAAGACTAATTTCAGCCTTATTTTTAGAAAGGAAGAGTACCATGTTTATCTTCTTGCCTAGAATTTAACAGAGCACTTTTCAATTCTGACAGCACATTTGTTTATCCTTCCCCACCCCAACAAATTTCTCACTGGAAACTTCAGCTCAGCTGCATGGTTGCAGTCATGCCACTGACGTCTTAGTGCAGGAACAGAGGGCTAAACAGGAAACTGAGCACACAAAGGGAAGCTTACATGAGGAGCAGTCTATGGACTTGGCCTCGTTCAGAGTTGTGTGGGACACGATGCAGGTAGGATTCTTCCCATCGCTGCTATGTGCTGCAAACCTGCTGAGAACTGTCACTGTCCCGTTACTGTGACTGTCTGCTCTGGGTGTGGAGTTGCTCTGTGGGACCCACGAGATCTCAGCAGCCGGCTTCTCTGTCTCTGCCTCGCACACAGGGTTCCCGTGGTCATCGCAGTACAGAGCCATTCTCGGGGAAACTGCAGAGTACCAGGAAGGGGGGAGATGCGTGTGGGTTGCTGCAGTGGGACAGGAGGTTTTATCGACTATCCAAAGGGATCATAGTGAGAAGAGGGGAATTGGAAGTGCCATCTCATCACAGCAATGTGTTCCAAAGCCACAAGAGACAAGGGTATATCTTTTTTCATTCTGGACAATTCTTCTACATTCAAGTGAGCTACTACAGCCACATGCCTTGAGAGGAGGTATTCCTGGACATGGAGGTAGGGAATACCCCAGAATACAGGGCTGAATTAGACTAGTCCCAAGCAGCTGTTACTGAGTGACTGCAGGATATCAGTGTGCTCATTAAGAATCCTTCTTTAAAGTACTCTAAATTGCTTCACACTCACCATTTATAACTCTACAGGGGAGAAAGCCGCAATAGAAGGTAAGAGAGTTTTGGCAAATAACGAAAGGGAAGAAACAGAGTTACTCTACATGAAATGCATGACCCTTTATTGCCATGAGAAAGCTCCTCTTCTTACCAGACACTTCCTCTAGTGCACAAGGAGAGGAGTTTTGTTTGCCCAGGCCTGGACACCGTCCTCTGGAGAACAGTGAAATGAGGAAGGAGACCCTTACCTTGCACAGTCAGGTGATGCAGGCCATGGAAATTCCCATCTGCATTTACCACTTCGCAGGTGTAATTTCCCTCATCAGCCATTCCTACTTGCTGTATCTCAAGTGCATGATCCCAGTCTGGTCTGGATCTCCAGTTTATTCTGCCACTGCAGTTGGTTTTTTCTGTCTTGTTACTACCAATCAGGTATGCCAAGACGCATTGGCCTCCAGTCTTGGGGCTTATTTTCCATGTTACCATAGTTACATTTGTTTTGTTAGGGCAGGTCATTACAGCGCTGTGACCCAGGTGTGCTGACACTCTGTTAATTCCTGGGGGAGACAAGGAAGGAGAAAGAAGTATGAGAAAGTGCTCAAGATGTCACATATGGCCTTGGAGTTCTCTTCCGTGCTTCACGGGCAAATGTCAGCACCATTACATTCTGAAGTGAGGTCCTGTCACCACCAGCCCAAGAGCTGCGTGTCTCGTTTTAGACAGAAACCAATTGCCAAATTCATGGCTGTGTTTGCCAAAGTCGGTCCTTCGTTTTTCTCCTTTCCTCTGCACAGCCCATTCCCTAAACCGATGGATAAGTAACATGACTTGGAAGCAAAGGCTGGCTGAGCCCATTGGCGTGGGAAGGTCTCCTGGAGTTCCCTTCCCTCAGCATCATTGCCCAGTACAGGAGAAGAACCAACAAAGACTGACTCCTGTTTTGTGGTAGATATGAGCAACCCCCCCAGTCAGGGCAGGCACAAGAGTCAAATTCTCTCCTGCCACTCAAAAACTTATGTGAACCGATTTCCCTGATTATGGCGCCATCAAATGAAAAATGATGAAGTAGAAGAGTAAATACAACATTTAGCTGAAGGAAAACATCAGAAATTCCCTTTGGCAATTTCTAAGATCCTTTCCCTTACTTTTTTTGGTTGTTTTTTTTTCCCCATCTGAAGAAGAATTGAGAAAAAGATCATTGTGATGCAGTGCTCCTTCCTCCTCAGCCCTTCATAGACACTTGATCCCTAAATACTGTCAGAACTACCTGTAGCTCCTGTGACTGCGGAGCTGGTGAGCAGAACGACAGTCCATGCGGTGCTCCTGACCACTTCCCAGGCAGCTCTCGTTTTCATGGATGATGCAGGCTTCTTGCACCATCCAGCTTGCTGTGAGTTCCCCATCTTCCCCTGCTAGGGATCCGCAGCACTTAGAGCCACTGCTCTTCCTGTGCTCATACAGACCCCTGACTGTAGCTACAGCTTGATGGTTATTCATATCAAGAAGCTTCTTCCTGTGCAGTGAATTGGTCAACATAAAGGAAGTGGTATTGGTATTTGCTTTCTGTTTTCTGGACTTTTGCATAATGTTACTTAGAGAAGATAAAATCTGTAGCAGAGGTTGCACAAAGTACAAGCAGAGTGACTTTTAGTCTGGCTCTTATCCAACAGTGGGGATTTTATCATCAAGAATGGGGGCAAGGTTATTCTTATCCTACTGCTTAAAGGATGCTCGGCATATTAAAAAGCCAAATAAAACCCTCTTAAAATCCATTTCCCTTCCAGCCTACTCTATTTTCCTCTTGTACCAAACAGCCTAAGACTTCTTCTCTAAAATGTATTGCCAGTCCCTGCTCCCCTCCAGGCAGGGAAGGTGGGTAAGTAGAGGCTGCCCACGTGATTAAGCCTGCTGTCATATCAGCAAAGGTACCTTCCTAGATATAAGATGTACCTCTTTGGAAATTAATGCAGTGAATGGAGTTTTATCTCCAAAGTGTTAGCCTTCCCAGCCCTTGAAGCCACCAGGCTGGAATGAGGTGCTGCCTATTTTGCCTGTTCCTAAGGGAACAGAGCTCTTTGCCCCACAGCAGTCATCTGTTTTATAGATGTCCATGGCTGTGCTGAAATGTGCCTGCCTGAAAGGGCTTTGGTCCTCTGGCCAAACAGACACAAAGCATCCACAGATGAAGAAACCATTGGCAAGAAGGCAGATATCTCACCACCGTCCCTCCTCCAAATTGCAGGTGTTAGCTGAGAAGGGGCATAGCGCCCATTGATGACTCAAAGGTGAATCTGGATAAGTTCAAGAGGTAAGTTGGGCTTCCTGTGCTCACAGTTTCTGTATTTAGAATAGCCAACAGTCACGATACACTGAAATTTTCATCTCTGCCGTTGTTGCAGTTTTCTTTCCAAAATATTTGTCAAGCAATTTCAGCTACCTTGGTCAGTACAGCCTCTGCTGTGTGGTTTGGAGGTCATGTGCAACAAGCATTTAAAATGTTTAGACATGAGCCCCAGATGAAAAGAACATATTTAACACTCTGATGGAGATATCCCTCTAGCATGGGAGCTTCAGCCACTTCCTCTTGACGACAGAGCTTAACACTAAAGGACAGAGGAAGAAAACACGGCCTGAGCCATGAAAACTGGAAGCACTGAGGTTCACATTCTCCTAGTTAATGTCGTTTTTTCAGTTTGAATTACAAGCTGCTCACAGCACAGCAATTTACTGCATGCCTATGATGAAGGGAAAGGCCATGAAAGTGCAATATGGATGGGGTCCAGTGGTGGGGCTGGCTGCTGTTTCTCAAGTTTTGGAAGGTCAGCCTCTGTCGTCCTTTAACACTGGAGCCACACAGAATGGTAATATGGTGGCACGAGCATCATTGGTGTGTCACAAGTAGTTGCTCTGTGCAGCAGAGCTTCTGACCGGGCTGTTTTACATCTGCCTCTAGCACATCTTTGGAGCTGGTTCTAAGTGTTGTTCAGCCTCAGACTGTTTCCTCCACCTCAGTTCAGACTTCTGTGGTTTGGGAGACTGATTTTCTCGTGGTAGCAAAGTACAGCGAATGACTGCAAGGTGCCCTGCTTCCTTTGTGTCATTTCTTCAATGCTGCAGGAGTCCTGGGGGGACTTTGTGCATGCATCACACCTCTAGCAGTGGCCTTATCCTTCCCATTTCCTTCCCAGTTAGTGATGTACCAAGGCCTGTTTTTAGCTACCGGTGTCCCAAAGCGCACTGTGGAGCTGTTGCTCGCCAGCTGGCTCACCCCCGGGCACCAAATGGCAAACACCTCCTCGAGTCCTGGAGGAACGCAGCACCGTCCGTGTAAGGGTGTTTCCATGTGCACACACTGCCTGCACCCTCACTTCCATCTCGTGGGCATAGCGAGCAACAACAACCACTTGGGAAGCTCCTCCTATTACATGAGAGTCCGACCTTTTGCATCGCCTGGGCTGCACGGAATGAAGGGGAATTGTTCCAGGCTACATGTATGTCAGTTGCTCCTGAAGTAATGGCTCCTAATTATATCCATGGAAACTACAACAGATACAAAGAGCACAATAACACTATTTGGCGACAAAACACTAGTTTTCAAAATAGTCACCAGATTAGCTATGAATTTTTGCAAGCAATGAACAGGAGCCTGCCCTGCATATCACACTCGTCAAAACCTGCACCAGCGGAGGTGCCCCACTGTCATCACTGCTGAAACGCACCACCCACTGCCTCACTGTGCTCACATCCACTGTTGGATCTCCACAAATGTTCAGCAAGCATCAGTGAATGTCAGTGGGTGCCATTTTTTCTGCATGAAGTAACTCGGTGGCACAGCTTTGCTTCATCCACACTCCCATGCCAGATGCAGTTCTGTCACACTGCCCCTCCGCTGTCGTGTGGCCATCTGTCCATCTGTCGCGTGGCAACGAAACACAAGGAAATATTGGCAGGAAGGTTCCACCTCTACTGCCATACCAGCAACATCCACCTCTGGTGTTGTTGGCCAACATAATAAAATAAGAGGCATTACTTTTGGAGAGCTCATCATAAAATATATAATGTAATTAGTGAATGTAAGTAACAAAACTTCTTTCATTTTTTAATGTTTTTTATTAGAACATATCAGAAAAGAGAGCAGCAAAAGTATAAAACTAGTGGGATATATGACCTTGTTTTTGTGAAACCAGCAGATTGGGCTGATTCGATGGCAGTGGTTGCAAAACTCAGTGAGCTCTCCATGTGTATAATAGGGATTTTTGATGAAATTTTACTCCTCCTGTGCTTCATCCTTGAAAATAATTGTTCATAAAGGTGCATCCCACCCAAAAGCAATGGCATGAATAAGGTGTGACTGTGAAGTGAAGGGTAAATAGAGGTCTGGTGGCAGGACGTGATCAGATTTTTATTTGCAACTCTATACATTCCATTTGAAAATTCACAGGTAATGTACTGAAAATGGAACCGCAAATAAACTAAAAATTTGATAATTTTTTCAGCCATCCTGAAACGCATTCTCAAATCTTTGTATCAAAACAGAAGCACGGCTGTTCAGAGGACTGTGGTGTCCCAGTGTAACACACTGCATAACCCCACTGGCCACCACTTGAGCTGGCACCGCACTGCGCCCCGTGTCCCGGTCCCAGCCCGGATGGGGTCACAGTGCACCGATGTCCCGTTGGTGCTGAGGGGCCGGGCTGCATGGTGGGAAGAGACACCGCCATCGTGGTGTGGGGCAGGGAATGGCTGCAGGGAGAGCTGTGCCGGGCTGCGGGTGGGACATGCCTGCTCTATCTGAATGAAAGGATGGTTGGTTCCAAAAACCCACTTCATTTTACTTTCAGAAATGGCCTTTGTTGCTTTCCAGTGTTACTGGATTTACACATTTCCAAATAAACGTTTTTGCCTGGATCTCCATCTGACATGTTTTCTGTCCAGATCACTAGAGAATTCTGTATACCACATTGTAGATCTTCAAGGAACAGGAGCCATCTCATGCAATGGAAACCTCAGAACTGTGACCCGTGTGACCCAAGGAGCCCTCAGCATCACTGGATTGTGTCACATGCAGCCTCTGGATGCCATGGCCACAGAAACTCCCAAATGCTAAGAAGGGCAGTGTTGGACTGCTGCCTGTATGCCTACTACAAAAAGCAGCTGTCAGAGGCTGTTCCACCGGAATAGGCCCCCCAAGGAGGTGGTTGAGTCACCATCCCTGGATGTGCTTAAAA